CGTCCCTGCCCTGGGCCGGACTACAGAACCCATCATCCTCACGCCGCGCGGACGATGGCCGCGGCTGGCGCAGGTGCCGCTGGACTCCAGCTCCCATCAGCCCCGTCAGTGCGGCCGTGATGGGAGCTGCCCCTCCCGGGAGCAGAGGCGTCGGCCTTCCTCCTCCAGGGCTGGAGCCGCCCCGGCCTGTCGCGGGAAGGGCAGCGCCGCCGGACTCCCCTGGAGTCGGACTCGCCCGCCTCGACGGGTGCGGCACATGGAATCACGGCCTCCCCGACTGGGGCTTCTGGGGGTTGTAGTCCCTGCATACCCGGAGGGGCAGCTTGCGGAAGGCCGACCTACGGGGGTAGGTGGAGTTCTTTGGGGGCCCCCAAAACGCCTCCCGGTTCTTTCTTGGAGCGCATATTTCAGCTGCGTTGCCCGTTACGGGCCGGCGTGAAAAGGAGAACGCGCCTCCGAAGCGCCGCCTTTGCCGTCTGAAAAGCGGTTTAGAGCTTTAGAGAGGCGCCCGCCCGTCCGTCCCCCTCTCTGTTCACCCGAGCGGGCCGCTCGGGAATGCAAAGGGGCCGCTTCACATTCAGGGAAAGTTAGGGAAACAGATGAACTTCAGCGGCTTTCTGAAAATCCGGAGTGAGGGCGTCTGCCTCAGGTCCGTTCGAGATTCACTCCAAGGGTCTGGCGTGTGACAGAGAAGGCCCCGCTTTTACACGGGTAAATAAGCCTTCTCCAGCTGATCTCCGACTGCGGCGTGGTCTGCACCAGACTGGGCAGCGTTGCCTTTAGTTTCTCACGTCTCTGTACAAAGTTCGGGCCCTCCAGAACCGAATAAGGGAGGTGGAATGATTCCAAAGGTCATCTGAAGCAATCTGCTCCATTAAGCAAAGTTATTTCCTTCTCAAGTCAGGTGACTCAAACATTAAAGCAAACATGGCCCTTAAGTTTAAGTACAAAGTTAAAGGCGTTTTCTTCCTCCTCTGCTGCTGAGTTGCAAGCGGAATGGCTCTTTTCCACTCCTAGTGTATTGTGAAAGAGACGGATCACTGAACAAATCAACCCAGAGTTCTCACTTGAGGCACAAATGGCCAGGCTCAAATTATCCTACTTCAGACACATTATGTGAAGATCCAGCTCTCTGGAAAAGGTTCAAGTGCCAGGTGTGTGTTATCTGAACATGGGCCGATCCTAGTTTTCAGGTGTTCTGCCAATTAAAGACATGTTAAGCTTTCCATGATCTGTGTTTTGGGTACACATATAAATGGGGAGCATATATAATTTAGGTGACACGGGCATATCATTAAGACATAGAAATGGATATTTGAGCTACACATGTACATCAATGACACATACACAGATGTTAAAGATATTGTGCCATTAACAAGTTATACATTTGGAATAAACAGCAGCAAGATAACAAGGTGCCTATATCAATCACAGTAGAGAGGGGCCAGCCTAACAAATCAAGGAGATAAGACATTTGGCTGCTGCCCTGAAGGAATGTCTAAGCAGTTGCTTGGCCTTAGAAGGTAAGCAGTTTTGGGCCTAGACTTTGAAGAGAGATCACCAGGGAGTTCAAAAGTTTTAGGCTTGGCTGGAGGTCAGAAAACATTCTGAAAAAGGGCTTTGGCAAATCGTTTCTGGCTGTTGCCCTTTCAGCCTGGGTATTTAACATTTTGAAATATTTATAAGGATTTGGGCAGGTATTGAAATCCTCTGGTCCTGGGAAATACATTTTGTAAAGAAACATCAAGCTTGTATTTACAAATCTGACTTTCCACATGACTTCTTTTAATATAGGTAACTTCCAAGTCATCTCTGGGGTTGAAATCTTTTATTTTTGCCTGCGTATTATGGATGTGAAGATGCACAGTTGATGTTTGAAGCCACCATTGTACCCCTAATAGTCTCAAGTTGGCTCATTTTTTTCTCACAGAGAGCTAAAGTGCAAGGACCAAGGCACTCATTTTACCTTCCCCACTGAAACATGCAAAAAAGCAAGGTGGAACAGTTTGGCTCCACTTTTAGTAATGCTTGCCCACTGAGGTCTTAGGCAGGGCATAGGACATTCATTGTGGGCCACCGGCTGAAAAAGGTTGCATGCTTGGGCTTGATACAAAAGAAATCACCACTCTTTGTGATCTTGGTGAAATCACGTGTGTGGTCTCCATGCCTGTCTGCAGAGCCTAATTTCGGAGGTTCTAGCACTGCGCTAGGATTTGCTTGCCTATCTGCACCTCCAGTGTGCCACCTGAATTCTGAAGAGAGTGAATCTTATGATTTTACTCAGTCCTCTTAGTGGCGCTGCGCTTGAAAGACTTTCCCCTGCCATTATCTTCCCAGTTCCCCCATCTCTTCCTTCATCTATCCAGTTGCTACCTGTCCTCACCCCGCTTGTCAGTATAGTTTTATTTTCACCATTCCTCTTCCGTGCAGTTACCCTACAGGCACCTCTTACAGAGGTGGTTTCACTTCTTATTTCTGCAGGCAGATGCTTTCCCCAGACATACTGGAAAGGGTTAGTTCCTTGTGCAAGCTTGTACGTGTGTTACTGTGAGAGGACAGAAACACCCTCTCAACTGGTTTTGCCCAGGCCCATGTCTCAGCTCAATGCTTCTTCCAATCTACCACCCCACCCAAAGCCCATGTCCATAGTAAACCAGAAAGTTGGGGAGTAATTAAAGCAAAAACTCTTTTCTGTTGCAGGAAGTTTCTGTCTAGCTATAGTTTTTGATATTGAGCAATTAGACATGCCTTCTGACCACTTCAGCAAGCATGAAGCACTTTGAAGGTTTAGCTTTGCTCAGACTCCTGCTCTGTCAAGCCTCACTCCTTCTGTCAGACTGCATATCATGAAAGCATCTTAAACAAGTGGGTTTATATGCTATGAAACATTTAGCAGTTTAATGTGGCTTGAAGCTTTGACAGTTGCTGATATTAATTTCATCCTCTGGATAGCTTAAATGCACCAAATTAACTCCTTTAAACCCATTAAAATATATTTACAAATTGCCCCACCTGTTCAAGGGAATGGCTGTCCTCCTTTGTAGCCCTCAGGCAAGGCTGAATATTGCAGTGAAGTCTCAAGGCCAAAAAGGGGGCATTAAGGGATGGAGAGTATTTTTTTCATGAAGTAGTATAGCCACATATGTGCCAGGTTTCTCTCTTCCTTTATTTTATTCATACAATGAACTTTATTCATACAATGGATGGAGAGGGTCTTTATTTTTTCCAGGGAATGGAACTGTCGTCATTACCTTATCTTGTCATGCTCTTCCTTTGCTCGAAATACTTTTCTCCCCATCTTGATTCTGATACTTCAAGCAAGCTGAGTTGGAGAGAAAGGCCTTTCAAGCAGTGAGATAAAAGCATGTCAAGGATTAAACAGGCTGGGAGAGAAAAAAGACGTAACTCCCTTTATTGGACAGTCGTAACTGCAGAACCGCTCTGTCTTGCTGGTTAGCCAGTTCAAGGGGGGGGGGATTTGCCCACTTTTCAGATGAGCCCAGGTCATCCCAGAGGGGGAAGCGATCTCTCCCGGAACTTCCCCCGGCAGACTTCCTGGCTTCCATAGCACTTTCCAGCCTTTCTCTCCACCACCCTCTCTGCTGTGGGAAAGCTTGACTCAGGTGGCATCTCACTGGCAATGTGGTCTTCAAGGTAGGGCTTTCTTAGTTGTGGAGCCACAGTTGTGGAATTTGTAGCTGGAAGTGAAATGTCAAACTAACTCAGTCAGGATATCAGATATTGATAACATTCTGTATTTAACAGGCTTTTAAGATACATTTCAGGAACTATAGCACTTTTGTAGTTCACTTCAAAAGCTGCTTGATACCCTCTTCCCTTTATTTCATTGTTTGTTTTGTATTTAACCTTTAACAAAGGGAAAAAGAAAAATGATAAGGACTCTTCATGTATAATGCTTTACACAACAATTTCAATAAAATACGACCATTTTCATTATAATCCATGCATAATGTGTACCTGTAAGCAACTAATTCATAAGCCTCAAATAACATCTTCAGTCCAGTGAGGAACTGGAGCCGTACCTTTATACTTCTGATGGATTAGTCTCATAGCAATAAGAAGGGTATGGAAAATCAATTTCTGTTGTCTAGCCATCTATTTCCATGTAATAGGAATATAGTTCAAAAGAATATGGACATGTAAAATTCTATACCTTGTCTCTTAAATTAATGCATATAATTATATCTTCCCTTAATATAATGATTTCTGGACATTGTAAAAACATGTTTTATGAAGCATTATTCCTATTACATGAACACTTGATACAAACACAGTGAGATCCAGTAAGTCCTTAATATTATTTTTTCTTGTATAGGCCATAGTTTCAGACTTACTGAAATTTTTGATAACTTAATGCAGTTTCCCATTGTTTGGATGTAAGCTGTAGATATGTTTCAGGAATTTAGGAACTTTCCTTCTTTCCTTCAAAAACCGCTTTCATCATTTTGGATATTACAAAATTATGTAGGGCTGTTTTTTTGCAGAACTTGTTTTGTGTGACATACAATTTATGAATAAAACATCTCTTTTGTTGTTGTTACTAGAAGCAGCTTTTATGATGTTCCATTGTGGGACTAGATTATGAGTGCCAACAAGAATACCCGCTACAATCGTTTCTCCAGCAGTAACTCTCCAACAGTAACCCTCCCAGAAAACACTAACGGGGTAAGACAGTATAGTTTGGCTGTCATCTCACCAGGCAACTTGGAGTTTTATCCAATTGCCCTTCTCTTTGTGTTAGGCCTATCTCATTCCTGCTTTTCACCCATGAAGGATGGAATATAACATGTTCTCTCTCCATTGCAGACAAGAATGGAAACTACTTTTGGATCTACGTATTCTGCGGTGACCACCATCACCAAAGGTTGGGATTGAATAATTCTTGCTCTGTCTAATCTATATAAAATTATATTGTAGTTTACAGAATAAAGAAACCTTGGCTTACTGGCCTCCTCTTAAAACCCAGTACTTTGTTCATCAGGTTAAAGCTCCGAGTTGAATTTCATAAAAGCTAGATTCCCACACTGTGATCTCCCAATATATCTAGGAACCAGAAACAGGCTGCATGCTACTCTAATCAGGCTGTGTGTAGAGTACAGAATAGTTCTGGGGGTCATATTTAAGGACATCAATAATTGTTAGTGAGTCCGCAGAGTGACAAAAATGATGGATCAGTTGAAAGACAGCTGCAATGGATTGCCTGGGAATAAGGAAATCAAGGGAAAAGATGATTGTGATTGTCAAGTACCTGACATTCAAAAGATGTTGCCAGGTGGTTCTCTGATGCTCCAGGTGACAGCTAGAAACAATAGGTGGAAATGGTAGGGAAACAAATTTGAGTTGAACATTAGAAGAAACTTCATTGGTGAGACCTTTGGAACAGTGGAATGGGGTAGGTCTTCATTTGGGGGGGTGTTTGGGGCTGTGCAATGCTTCAGTATTTATCTCCAGAACATGCCATGGCTGCTGTAAGGTGTTGCAGACAGGGGCTACATTCATGCTCCTGCATGCTGCAAAAAAACCTCTTGGATGCCAAATCCAACCTACTGCACAATGTTAGTATTTTTTTAATATAATTTTTATTAGAGATTTTAACATAGGTAAAAGATAAACGTGACAAGGTATAAAGAAAAATAGAAAAAAGAAAAAAGTGCAGGAAACAGTACAAATAGAAAAAAGAGAAAGATATATAAAGAAGCGATTTCTGATCTCTATAAGCTGTTACAAAGTTATTATCCCTCCTCCCTCTTTAAGATTACATTACGTGGTTCCCTTCTTTCCATATTCAACCCTTTTTAATCAGCAAATCCATAAATCACCAATTCATTTTTTTCCATTTTCAGCAAAAAATCCATAAGAGGTTTCCAGTCTTTTATAAAACTACTTATTGTTTTATCCCTGATCAAACAGGTCAGTTTTGCCATTTCTACAAATTCCACCATCTTCACAATCCACTCCTCCATTGCGGACGTTTCAGTGTTTTTCCATCCATCCAGTGCATATAGTAGACTCAGTACAGTTACCATATACATAAATCTTTTCTAATTGGCTGTCCATAAGTCCCGATACAAAATCTGGTTTCATCTGAATATTAATCTTTAAAATTCTTTGCATCATCTTCCATTCTCCCTTCAAGTGTAGCCAGATCTCTCTCAACAGATTCAGTCACTGATGCTGTAACATTCTTTCCCAATTCTTCAAACATCCTTCAAAAATCTCTGGCATAATCCCCTTTTCTGTTATTTGCTCTATTAACGATCCTCTTCTCCCTTCTGTGATTTTTGCTGCTTTCCTGGTAGTAGCCATTTCTGTTTTTTAATTTATAAACCAGAAAGGAAAGGTAAAGAGTAACGTCTTTCTTTTCTTTCTCTACATCCTTCGTGCTTTAGTCCCATTCGGCATTCCTTAGTTCTATGGTCACATGATTTTTCACAACTTTCCCTTGTCTCTTTGTTTAACAAAACCAGCCAATCGTCCCTCTTAGGAAATGTGAACAGTCCTCATTCCCATGGAGATATGTATTTATTCAATTAATTCAAAAGTACTTTAAAATGAATGATATTCCAAATTTGGCTGTCCTCTTAATCTGTTTTAAACCCTCATAGTTCAAACCCTTGGCAAGCTTTTTACTTTTAATTGTTTTTAAATCCTCATAATTATTTCTTTACTTTTTACTTTCATCTTGTCCCAGATCAAAGGAACACTCACCAGGTGGTTTAGTTGCTGCTTGGAAGATCTCTGTAACTTTAAACATTTTTATAATCCAAACATGCACTAGGAAGTGAAGTTTTGAGAGAACCCAGCGTCCTTAAAGCAGGTTCCGCACGAGGCTGTGAGCTTGATATTTCTTCCTCAGCTCTTGGCGCTCTGCTCGTGAGTTGCCTGCAGGTTCCTTCATTGCGAGGAGCTGCCTTCCAGAGCACAGGTGGGCAATCTCCTGGCTTCTCCTTGTCCAGAGAAGCTCCACTGGCCCAGGTTCGCTGCCCGGCTGCCAGTCCCGCTTTGGTTGCATTTCCGCTATTTGGAGACATTCTCCATTTTCTCCACCCAGAAGTCCACAGTCCTAGTATTTAGGCAGAAGGTGGACAGCTGGAAAACATTGCAAAACCTACGTGGAGGAGGGTTAAATCTGATGATTTCTAGAGATCCATCCTTTCTACTTCTGTGATGGTTACATTTCAAGTGATGGTTCAGTTTATTGGCTTTCAGGAGGTAAATTTAGAATTTAGGCCTAGATCAATAAGTGGAAGGTAGAATTATTAACAGCTATTAACTGATGTTCTGTAGAAAATCTCTTCATTGCCAAGCTGTTTAAAAAAAATAATTCTGTTCCATCCTTGGCTGAGTACTCTCAGCAAGTTTGGAAGAGAAGTGTGGAGTTTTATTAATTTGTTTTTCTTTTTTCTGGATATGTTTTTCAAAGCTGCTTGGTGGTTTAATGTTATGTTGCAGAATGTCTCACCTCTCTCTCCTGATTCTCCTTCTAGCAGACGGAAGCAGTACGTTCAAACAGCATCGCCCGACGCCATCCTCCTCAAGTACGCTCACCTATTCCCCCCGTGACGAGGATGATGGCATGGTACGTGCTTTGGGGAGAACAGATACTGCAAGGTTGGGAATGGAGTCAGTCTGCAGTTTCTGTTACTCAGTTTCAAGTCACAAATTGGCGTTTGCTGTTTTGTTTTTTTTTTCCTCTGTATCTGTTGAGATTCCTTCCCTCACGGGGCATGCTGTTAAATATAGGAAGACATCTATGGGAGAGTTCTGTTAGAAGTTCTCATCCGCAGGTCTCCTAAATATTAACAGGGCTTGTTGGCTTCAACTGAAAGGGTTTCCTGGTGGATTGCAGTCTCAGTCTTCAAGATGCAGATTTGTTTTCTGTTGTTAGGCTTTCACATCCACGCTTGTTATTTCCCAATCTTCAGTTAGCCTGTAAGGCAGTGTTGTCCAAACTTGGCCACTTTAAGATGAGTGGACTTCAACTCCCA